CTCTCTGCTGCCCAGCCTGGAGTGCAGGGGCATGACCATGGCTCGCTGCAGCCTCTAACTCATGGGCTCAAGGGATCCCCTTACTTTGTCCTGTTGGATTACAGGCATGAGCCACCACAGCCAGCCTACTCCTGTATTTCTTAATCAGGGCTCTCTCCATTACACCCTGACTGCATCTGCCTAAATTTGTATATCCTGTAGACTTTAGCAATCCAAATACAGTAGCTTCTTAATAAATGTTTAAATAAATCTCTACCAGAATGAACCTTCTACCAGATGGGGTCTTTGTGTAGCTCTGAGAAATACTTCTGAATACCTATCAGGAAAGTTCAGTTGCTGAGACCTAAACATTCAATTGGCCATATCTTGAAAAGTACTTATTATAACCTTATAAAACTAACTCTAGGCCAGGTGTGGTGGCTCACGCCTATAATCCCAGCACTTTGGGAGGCCACCAAGGCAGGCAGATCACTTGAGGCGAGGAGTTTGAGACCAGCCTGGACAACATGACAAAACCCTATCTCTACTAAAAATACAGAAAACATTAGCCAGGGAGGCTGCCAATGTGGGCAGATCACTTGAGGCCAGGAGTTCGAGACCAGCCTGGCCAACTTGACAAAATTTCATCTCTACTAAAAATACAAAAAATTAGCCAGGTGTGGTGATGTGCACCTGTAATCCCAGCTAACTCAGGAGGCTGAGGCAGGAGAATCACTTGAACTCGGGAGGCAGAGATTGCGGTAAGCTGAGATTGTGCTACTGCACTCCAGCCTGGTGACAAGACTCTGTCTCAAAAAACAAAAACAAAAACAAACTAACTCCCATTTAATTTAACAGTGTACTTACCATGTAACTGGTACAGTGGGAAACTATGAACAATAACTCTTTTGACATTCATAACAACTTTATGAGGTATTACTCAATGTTACTCAGACAGAACTGAGGCCTAACCTAGTCTTACTTAAGAATCTTTAAGAGTGAATCTGAATCATCTGTAAATTTTTTTTTTTTTGAGACTGAGTATCACGCTTGTCACCCAGGCTGCAGTGCAATGGGGCAATCTCGGCTCACTGCAACCTCTGCCTCCTGTGTTCAAGCGATTCTCTTGCTTCAGTCTCCCAAGTAGCTGGGATTACAGGTGTGCTCCACCATGCCCGGTTAATTTTTGTATTTTCAGTAGAGACGGGGTTTCACCATGTTGGCCAGGCTGGTCTCGAACTCCTGACCTCAGGTGTTCCACCTGCCTTGGCCTCCCAAAGTGCTGGGATTACAGGTGTGAGCCACCATACCTGGCCCATCTGTATTTTTAAAAACTCCAGTGGGTGATTTTGATCAGCAGCCAGGGTTTAGAACCAATGTTAAGAAACATGCTCAAGACCCTATAGCTAGCTGAGTGTTCGAGTAAATATTCCAAACTGGGCTTGTCTAACTTCAAAAAGCCAATGTTCTTAAACAATAAACTATATTATCTGTTTTCCTCCATATCTAGCACTAACAATCCAATTATATGTATCAGAAGTTGAGTCAAATTGTTGTTCTTCATTTTGGTAATAGCTAACATTTCTGGGCCCTTAAGTGTCAAAATACTAAGCACTTTACGTGTAATCTCTCATTTAGTACATCTAATACCTCAGGGCAGTGACTAACAAAGCCTGTGAGTTACCGTAACACCATATAGCTCAGAGAAAAGGCAGTTCCAGGTGAGATAGCTTGTTCAGAGCCTTGGGCTTAGACTAGCTTAGAAGAAAAGATACTGCTTTCTCCTCTTGTGCCCCATAGAGGGCTACTGCTCACCACTTGACTACCACATTACTGGGAGTCTCAGGAATTTTCCCAGTATCCCCATCATCTCCAACTTGAACCCAACTCCTCCAACAGATTATTAAAATCAAAATCAGTGCCATCATACCTCACAACATAGTTGTCTGTTACCATGCTAATGATCAGACCTTTAATCTCAAACAACTATGTACATTTATTAATCTGATCTAGTTTTCTACCTTACTAGTTGTTCCTATATCCCCTGGTACTCATGGTCTAATATCAGTAAATTCCTCTAATCACCAACCTTTCTCTTTTGAACTATCTCTTTACTTTCATGCCTGAACCACAGCGCCTTCTGACTAATGATACCTATATATATGCTTCTATAGCCATTTTATCCTCACAGTCCCTTGTAACTCAGGACCAAGAAGTGAGGGTAGTTGCCCACCCAACACACCCATTACTGTTTTCAAATCTTAATTCCCCCCTTAATCATTAATGACTTTCAGCACCTGGTTCTCTACCCTTCTTTGCCAACTAAATCCTTGGTTGTTTCAACATCCAAGACCAGTCCCATTGGATTATAACTTTCTCAACATCTTTGCTTCCAATATCACCCTTCCCCACCTCAGTCACCAACTCTAAGTTCATACCCTTGACCTCATCACAATTTGCTGCACTACCCCTAAATCTCCATTTTAAGCATCCCCTCCTCCTGTGTACCAATTCTTATTTTAGCCTACTTACATCAATGTCAATAAAATTCAGATACTCTACCTCTTTCTCACTATACACTTCCTGATGTCCTTACTTTCCTCCTGATTTTAATTTCTATGATCGCCACAATTATGTCCTTATAGATACCCTTAACTCCCTTCATCATATTTGCCTGGCAAAAGACCTACCAGCATTGTACTCTAGTCCATACCTTTATCCCAAGCATCTGAAAACTGCTTTAAAAAAACTGTATGTGTACCTCATTTTAAAATCACTTTTACAGACACTAATACAATCTGGAAATCCTACTACACATTCACATCCTTAGAATGTTATTTTCCTCACACCTCAAAACTTCCTAACCAGCTAAAGACCTTACCTCTCTTTCTAAGAAAACAGATGCAATTAACAGAGGGAGTCATAAATCTTCCCATCAAAGCAACAAACTGATAAACACTCACATCAACACTAGCCTTCTGAAGAGAAAATATCCTTTCTCCTATTAAGGGATAACCACTCAAGCTGTGCTCTGGACCCTATCTTCTTTCCCCTCTTTTCATATTTTTTTCCCTCTATTAGAAGTCTCAAAATAAAAACGTGCCTTAAAATTCCCTACCTCAAAATAAAACAAAAACACTTCTTGTGATCCCATGTAACTCTAATTCCTGTTCCCCATCTCCAGTCTCCTTGGTAGTAAATTTGTTCAAAGTGTTGAACCTATGTTGCTGCCTATCCTTTCTTATCTACTTTTCTCTACTCAGTCTAATCTAATCAGGCTCAGGAACCCAGCACTCCAGAGATTGAAATCACGAAGAACATCTACGCTATCAAATCCAATTATTCTTTTTTCTCATTTTACTTGACCTCTCAGAAGTGCAGGGTTGATCCCACACTCCTTAAAGCATTCTTCTTTTGGCTTGCACAACACATTTTCTTGGTTTTCTTCCTTCCTAAAGGCTGCTTTTCAAATCTCCTTTGTTTTCACTAAACGTTTGGGTGTCCCAGGGCTCTACCCTGGGCCTATTTCTTCGATATATGCTCTTCCTCTAGCTGACCTTATTTAATACCAAAACCTCAAACGTCACTCATGTGTTCATAACTGAAACTTTCAGTGTTTCTCCTGAAATGCCAGGCTTGTCTAGCTAACTGCCTACATGACATTTCCATATGGTTATCTAGTAAGCAGTTCAAATAAAATGTCCAAAACAGAACCCTTGGTTCCCTTTTCAGCTTCCTATTTCAGTAAAAGGAACTGCTGTTCACTTAACTGCTCAAGGCAAAAATATGAGCTTCCCTAATTGTTCTTTCTCCTTCATTCCATCACATCCAATCTGCTGAATTGGATGTCTTACAGAATCTACCTACAAAATATACCAGAATCTACCCATTCTATCATCACGGTCACACTGCTACACGTTAATCAACACCAACTCTAGCAAGTGCTCTGATAACAGACTCCTGGTTGGTCTCCCTGTACTACTCTTGTCCCCCTAAAAATCCATTCTCAGAGAAGCCAAACATAAATAAGATAATTTCATTGCCTTTCCCTTTAGTAGCTTCCCATCATATTTAAATCTAAGATTTGGGCCTTTAAAAGTCTTGCACAAATTAACTTCTGCTAATCTTTCTCATTTCAACTTTATCTCCCCTCCCCGACTAACTATACACCAGCCACACTATGCATAATTCAGCTCCTCAAATAGACCTAGGTTGATTCCCACCTTAAAGTCTTTGAACTTGCTGTTCCCTATGCTAGAGTGCTCTTCCCCTCATCATGGAATAGCTCAGCCCTCAATTTACACGTTCTCACTTCAGAAAGGCATTTCGTTAACACCCAATATCACTACAAGAAGCAGGTGCCTTGTCTTTTTACCATCCTATAACCGACGTCTAGAACTACTGTGCCTGGCTCCATTACAGGCACTCAATGAACAAATAAATCCCCATAGTAGCCTTATTATCATAATTCGCTAAGTGACACAACAGCAATATTAGAAATAAATCTTTCTCAAGGACACACAGCTGGTAAATGGTGAGTCTATTTCCTTGATTCAAAAGGATCTTACATGATAAAAGGGACACACCAGTGATCACAAATTACAGCTGTACTATACATGTATGAAGTAGTAAATAGTTTGGTGGGAAATGAAATATAAGACACATTACTAAAAATTTACAAAGACTAATGCTCTTTAATGCTTCTGCTGAGACTTCAAAAATTATTAAGACACTTGTTAAAAGTCTAAATTCGACAATCTATAAATTACAAATTTGTTAACCAAAATGCATACATACATGCATCTCTTAGAAAAAATTGTGAAAACACAAAAGGGTAAATCTTACCAGAGTTAATTTTGGCCTGTAACCACTTTTTCATACACTCTTGGTGGACATACTGCAAACTTCCTGTACACTTGCATGGCTCTATCAGCAAATTAGATGATGATGCAGCTGCCATTTGACAAATTCTACATAAGTCACCTTCTTCTTCTTCTGAGTCCTCTAAAAGGAGGCTGGAAAAGAAGGCACATTTCCCAAAGCTATCATAACTCATCCTGGTTGGTTACTTCAGTCATACATAATCACAAGCTTTCTTTTTTGTTATTTCTACCCACACTGTCTCTGGGTGGAAAAAAGCAAATAGTAAAAACAACAAAGCAACAATAATTATATTCATCAACAACCCTCTGATTGAAAATGAAAAACCCTCTCATTGAGAATAAAAACCGTAACAAATATTTTAAAGGTAAGTAAAATAGGCTAACCTATCATTTATTTTTATTTTCATATGATTAAGTAATTTTGTCATTAACAAATGACAGTTTAAGATCTGTATTTTTCTCAATGGCTTTATAAGTACTTCTAAGAGACTTTAATTTTTGCAGTATTCCAGACTACTTCAAGTCCAACAGTATAAAGGTAAGATAAACTTATCACTTTTGCCCCTTGCCTCCCCTCAAACTTTAGGGCTATTTCCATGAATTAAACACATACTGGCTTGTAGATTCTCATTTACATGTTATCAGAACCACGTTTAAACTGATAAACTTTTGTATTACAGAAAAAAATTTAAAAGTATGCTTTAAAATTCTCCATCTGCCCCCTCCCTGCAGCAATCTTATGAAAGTTTCCATTAACCTATGTCATCTATTTAACAGGCCACTGTGTACTGCTTGATACATACATGTGGAACAACAGTTTTATATAATAAGGTAAGTAACTGTTAAAATCCCTACTGCATTAGTCCACTGTTGGCATGAAACAGGTACACAGTAAATTGGTAATACAGAATGCTGAACTGTTACTGAAATACAACCTGGAATATATGGATACCTAAATGAACTTAGCAAAAGATTTGTGGAAAGAGATGGATATACAACTGCTAGGAGACTTTCATGCCTTGGGTTAATCAGACATAACCTCAACCATAAATTATTTTTAAAGACTGAAAACATGGTATTTATATTTTACCTTTAAATTTAACTTTCTTCCCTTCATAGTTTCAACTATTTACTTGGTGGATTCAATTTTTCTCTACCATTTTTAACTGCAGAATGTCTTAAAATCCTTAGGTATGAGGAAAGATGTAATACAGGAATGCAAACATACACACACACACTCTCTCTGGCAAAGTAAACAACAAATGCTGCTTTTAAAATTAACCAGATAGAGTGGTGCTAGCTCAATCATTTCTCTCTGAAGATGACTAAAGTAACGCTTTGCTTTCTGCCTACACTACTGTACTTAAATTAATCTAACCTTGAAGGCTGAAAATATGTAACTACATCCTTTAGCAGACAGCAGACAGCCTGCAGTTGGAGGAAGCTGCTATAATAAGCAAACACTAAAGCAAACACTACCAGGGTAGAGTAAATCTCTTTCTACAAAAAAAGGAAAAATAGCAAGTTTAAAAGCAGGAAAATAACAGTCACATGGCAAAATCTGTCCTATAAAATTAAAAACAAGGAGTATGGTAGCCCAATGACCAGCATCTCAGAAAGTGTGCAGAGTTTCCTTTATCACCTGAGTTGGATTTGAAAGCATTTTCTTATTAAAGTACAACAAAAATCTAAAAATAACACTAACAATTATGCTTCCCAACAATTCTACTAGGCCTTTGTGAAAAAGGAAAAAAAATATCCCACATTACCTTTATATAAAGTCTTCTTCCTCGAAGTGTACTTCAAATAAACGACTTTATCTCATTTTAATAACTATTTTAATACTAAGTAATTAGACTAGGATGACTAAATTAAGAGCAAGGCTGGGACTAAGATCTCTGGTCTTTTTGTCTTTTCACTCTTACCAGTGATTTATAAGCAACCTTCAACTTTATAAAGATTTCTTTGTATAAAAAGATTCTATGCCCTGCATTTAAACCTTTCATTTTTTTTTTGAGACAGAGTCTTGCTCTGTCGCCTGGCTGGAGTGCAGTGGCGCAATCTCAGCTCACTGCAACCTCCACCTCCTGGGTTCAAGCAATTCTCCTGCCTCACCCTCCTGAGTAGCTGGGACTACAGGCGCATGCCACCACACCCAGCTAATTTTTGTATTTTTAATAGAGACAGGGTTTCACCATGTAGGCCAGGATGGTCTCAATCTCCTGACCTTGTGATTCACCTGCCTTGGCCTCCCAAAGTGCTGGGATTACAGCGTGAGCCACTGCACCCAGCCTAAACTGGTATTTCTGTTAAATAATACTAACTTCTAAAGAATTGGCTGGGCATGGTGGCTCATGCCTGTAATTTCAACACTTCTGGAGGTTGAAGCATGAGGACTGCTTGAAGTCAGGAGTTCGAGACCAGCCTGGGAAACAAAGGAAGACCCTGTCTCTACAAAAAATTTAAAGAAACATAATATTCAGTATATACTTGGACTTCAAACACAAAATCAAAATTATTTTGTGCATCAAATTTTACTTTGTGAATCAAAGTAAATTTTGTGCATCAAATTCCAAAAAAATATTTGCAGTAAGAAATGTAAATAAATGGTTAGTTAATAAATCATCTTAATAAAGGCTAAGGCAGATTTATTGGTAATCCATGGTCATTCAGTTCCTCTTATGGTCATTCAGTTCCTCCTACTAACCCCATTTAGCATTAGTCTACCAAGGAATTGGGTAAGAGATTAAGGTTTTTGTCTTTGTGTGTATATGTATTCCAACCTGGTTAAAATAACCTTTGGATTACTTTCTGACACAATTCACACCCCTCTACCATGGCTTATCCTCAATTATTAATTCTTATCTATTTACCTATGAGTGAGACATCTTACTGGATGTAAATGTTAAGGGAAGAAATTTCAGGCTGGAAGCAGTGGCTCATGCCTGTAATTCCAGTACTTTGAGAGGTGGAGGCAGGTGGATCACCTGAGGTCAGGAGTTCGAGGTCAGCCTGGCCAATGTGGTGAAACCTTGCTTCTACTAAAAATACAAAAATTAGCCAGGCATGGTGGCAGGTGCCTGTAATCCCAGCTACTTGGGAGGCTGAGGCTTGAACCAGGGAGGCAGATGCTGCAGGGAGCCAAGATTGTGCCACTGCACTTCAACCTGGACAAAAGAGTGAGACTCCATCTCAAAAATTTAAAAAAATAATGAAAAAGAAAGAAAGAAAGAAAAGAAACTTCAAATATCAATTTTATAAGAAGCCAATTTAGAAATGAAGAGTTCTAGGCTAGGCACGGTGGCTCATGCCTATAATCCCAGCACTTTGGGAGGCCGAGGCGGGTGGATCATCTAAGGTCAGGAGCTTGAGACCAGCCTGACCAATACGGTAAAACCCCTACTAAAAATTCGAAAATTAGCTGAGCATGGTGGAGTGTGCCTGTAATCCCAGCTACTTGGGAGGGTGAGACAGGAGAACTGCTTGAACCCGGGAGGCCAAGGCTGCAGTGAGCCAAGATCGTGCCATTGCACTCCAGCCTGGGTGACAGAGTGAGACTCCATCTCCAAAAAAAAAAAAAAAAAAAAGAAGAGTTCCTTTTCTATTTTTGATTTATAGGTTTAAGACAAGTTTTCGAATTTACCTCTCCTTTATTTTCTGCAATCTTTCTGGATCTCTTGAAGGCGCACTTTTAGTTTTATCACTTTTACCATCAGCTGAATTCCAACCTGAAGGAATAATATCTACTGTGATCATGACATTGTCGGTCAAATTACTCCCAAGTGCTGGGGGGACTGCAAACCGGAATAAGGAACCAGGAAGAATCCCTGCTATTCCTGTATTTCTTCCACCTTGAGCCGAATCTGATGTAGAGCCACCTGTTGTGGCACTGCTTGATGCTGCAGATGCTTGTGGTCTGTTGGCAGCAGCTCCAAGAGGATCATTCTGTGCTTCAAGGTGAACCACTTCATTTGATTCTCTTCTAAAAATATGAGATCTAGATGATGTATCAGAGGTAGATATCCTTGAAGATTCATCTCTTCCCTCTCGCCTCCTTCTAGAGAACAAAGGTGTGCATCTATTTCTAAGTGAGGAAGATAACCATGGTCCTGTATTTCTACCTTCAGATTCTTGGTTAAAATTTTCTGAATCTGACTCAGAGCTATGATTGTGGCTAAGAGATGACAAACCCCATCTTCGCCTAAGAAATCGAAATCCCTGAGAAGCTTCAGATGCCCTATTATCGGGAACTTCAGAAGTTGATGGTACATTACTACGGGACTGTGAAGCTGTCAAGATTCTTGGAGAAACGTAAGAATTTTCAGAATTCAATGATCTTGTATTCAAGGAATCCTGACTAGATCTTCGTGAAAAAAAAGTAGATGACATGCTAGAAGCTATGCGTGACAGCAATCTCCTGGTTGTCCGCCTACCTTCATTGTCAGAAGATTCTTGAAATGGTCTTTGAGATGAAACAACCCTTTCTGAATTGCTTATGATTGGGGTTTCATCTCTACTTGAACTGTAAGAAAATCCAGGCTGTGCATTGCTTCGGGAAGATTCTGATTCTCTTGACGAAAAATTTGATCTTAAAGAATTTCTGGAGTCCCTAGAACTTAGTATGGTCTGATGTTCAGAAGGCAATTGGTGGTTTGTGGATGATGTATTCAACTGTAAAGTGCTCATTGAGTTTTCTTTTGGTCTTGCTCCTTGTGAATATGAAGGAACTCTGTCTTGAACATCTATTTTTGAAAGGAAGTAAAGATAACCAATTACATGAAATAATTTGAGCATTATTATTTGCATTTATTATGTTGAGTGTCAAAACGAAGTGCTGGATTCAAACTGATTACTGTTACATTGTAACTACAGAATTTACTGTTATTATAGAAAAAATATAAACATATTTCTTTCTATTCCTACTGGTAAAATCCAGTACTGCCGTGTAAAGTCAACATTACAAATATATAAAAAAGAAATGTATTATGAGCTTATGAAAATTTTGATAAAATTAAAACAGCTGAATTTATTGATCAGAAATTATTTGATATGATACAATAATATCTAGTATTTAAATTGAGATGCTTTTAAATAGGCCAAATAATACAATGTAAATGACTCTTAAAATGATTAAAAGCAAAATCATCCAAGGGAGACTGTTTTGGAGATTTTGTTTTTACTCTGTGCAATAAATTAAAAAGTTGTTTTAAATCCTTGTAATTTTATGAAAAATCCTGCTAATAGCTAAAAATTTTTCCAATTTTTTTTTCTTTCAGGTTAACAGCTGTAATTCTTATCCTGTAAATGTATCCTGTGTTACATTTGCTTTAAATACTGGCTAGGAACTATGAATCAGAATAGGGCTATGACATCTGCACTTTTGAAAGGATTCCTTAACTGGTGGTTTAAATCTTCGAATGGGATGAGAAATACTATAGGATTCCTTTGCAAGGAAACTACCCATTCACCTTGTATAAGAGCTAAATTACTACTACACTAATATATGGAGCTTTATGAAAGGGTAAATGTTAGGAACTAAATCTATTTCTATCCTGTACTTTTATAGTCCAAAACCTAAAAGCTATTGATACTGTCTACTAAAGCTCTACTATCCAAAGTCAAGAAAATAAAATGTTTTCATTTGTCATAAATAAACATTTCCCCCAGTAAGATAAATTAAAATAAACTAAACCTTTAAAAACAAAACATTATTTCCTACTATGTAAATCAAACTCCATTTCTGCCTACTATATTTGTCAACTTCAATTAGCACCTTTTTCTTCAGTTACTGAGAGAGGCTGACACAGGAGAATCGCTTGAACCCAGGAGGCGAAGGTTGCAGTGAGCTGACATCGTGCCATTGCACTTCAGCCTGGGCAACAAGAGCAAAACTCCATCTCAAAACAAACAAAGCAAGCAACCAAGCAACCAAAAACAAAGTGTGGGTCTTGAGGTCAATTTAATAAAACTAGAGGTACATCCATGTTATACTAAAGTAATTTTAAATTATGCCTTAAAATGGTGATTTAAACTTTCAGTTATTTCAGAAGTAGAAGAATCAGAAGTAGTTATTAAACTACATATGTTATAGGCAAATTCTATTTGAGGATACAAGATTTAGTATGTTACTTTGTAACACAGACATTCTTAAAAGGAAAAATGCAAGTTAAACAATGTAAAGGTAGATGGAATCTAGATACTCTTACTCATCTACTGTATTTTAAATTATTTTTTAAGGTCAAAACAAGTACTAGAAAGAAATATTAAGGTATTCTGAAATCTTCATAAGACAAAAGATACACTATTCCTTTTTACTGTTGTTTCAGTAATATACATAAAAAGGAAAATAGAACATTATGAGAAGCTACACTTAATGTAATTTATACATACATGATGAAGTTGTGAAATCACCACTTCGGTGACTATAATCCATAAGATTACTAATAGAGGAATCTGTTCTTCTCTCCAAATCTCTCCTCTCTCTCATTAAGTCTGTTCCAAATGATCCAAGTACCACTGATGAAGATCTAGGAACTTGACTATGCCTCCAAGATGAATCTTAAAATAAATGAAGAAGTTTTATATCAGAGAAAGCTTTCAAGGCTTTGGATGGTAACAAATCTTCAGTAATACAGAGGAAAGTTAGTGTTATTTATTATTATCTTTTATTTGAGATGGAGCCTTGCTCTGTCGCCCAGGCTGGAGTACAGTGGCACGATCTCAGCTCACAGCAACCTCCACCTTCTGGGTTCAAGTGATTCTCCTGCCTCAGCCTCCTGAGTAGCTGGGACTATAGGCATGCACCACCATGCCTGGCTAATTTTTGTATTTTCGGTGGAGATGGGGTTTCACCCTGTTGGCCAGGCTGGTCTCAAACTCCTGACCTCTGGTGATCTGCCCACCCCAGCCTCCCAAAGTGTTGGGATTACAGGCATGAGCCACAGCACCCGGCCTTATTGTTGTTTATTATGAGAATCCCCAGTTATGTAGTCATTATCAGAAACAAAATTCAGTAAAACATAAAATTATTGACAAATGAACTAATCACTTATAAAATTATTTCCTACTCTAAACATATTCTTCTCTAACACTAAAATCTACCCCATACATGATGTCAATGTCTCAGTCACTTCCCACAACATCTACCTATACATGATGTAAAATGATTACAGAACAAAAATGTAAATCTTGCCAAACATGGAGAATTTCACAAAAAAAGTCAATGAAAGTGATGCTGGAGTACTGCCAATATCAAAATCAAAGTCATCTGGAAAGGGAAGATGTCAACAATACAATTTTATCAGAATTATTTTTACTGCTACCACAGTTGGTTAATTTTTTATTCTAGAATTCTTAATTCTAAGAATTAAAGTATTGTTATAGTTATTGATATTTTATTAGACATTTCATTTAAAAGTAAATTAAACATTGTCTCAAACCTCTTTCCTTCACTATTTACCTTGAAATTTTGATTCTTTCTTCCCTAATCCTAGTAGTCTTAATAATTCCTCTTTATTAAGAGAAATGGCCCAGAGTATTTATAATGTTTTCACATAGCAGAAGAGAACAAAAATATCTCTGGCACAGTGGTATTTGACTACAAAGTTATTAACAGTCTGCTCTTAGCCATCCCAACATTCTTAATATCCTTCAGATAGGCACGTCTTTCCCATGACATTCCAGATTATCAAAATAGACAGGAACTGCTTACATTACTTCAATTGGTAACACACAAACATTTAAAGAATTTTACCTCCAATTGTGTCATCACAAGTTTTGGCTCCTCTTAAACACTGGCACTGGCTAACATTTCATTTGAAGAGGAGTATGAGTGAGACGGTAGCCTCCTGACCTTTCAACAAAAGATCTTTTCAATGTGTGTGAAAAATATGTGTCTCAGTACAAAATACCAGGCATGACGCTTTATGGATAGATCATCCAAATCCCAGAGTGGTCAGTACCTCGCCCAATGCCACTCATCTAGCTAGAGAACTAAAACTGTGACTTTCTAATCCCTTGTCTAGAAATCCTACTAAAATACTACCATTTTTTTTCTAACTCAAGAGTTTCTGTATTTGTTTTTTGTTTAAGAGACAGAGTCTTGCTCTGTCTACCAGGCCAGAGTGCACTGGCATGATCATAGCTCACCGTAACCTCAAACTCCTTGGGACCAAGCGATCCTCCAGCCTTAGCCCCTCAAGTGGCTGGGGAGTATAGGCATGCACCACCAGGCCCAGCTAATTGTTTTCTTTTTTTGGTAGAAATAGGATCTCACTATGTTGTCCAGGCTGGCCTCAAACTCCTGGCCTCAAGAGATCATTCTGCCTTAGCCTCCGTATTTTCTGAAAATAAATATTATATACTACAATGTTTATCATTTACATAAGACATGCTTAACCAATATTTTAAACATGTATCAGTAGATTTAGCCTTCCTTGTAACAATTACAAAATATAACCAACAGAATACACACATTTACCAATTTGATGATCATAAAACACCAGCTATTCTAATTAAAATCTGCTAATATCCTGTTTATGTAGAATATCTATATCAACTTTACAAGAAAAATGCAGAAGAGTTAGTATCAGTTCTAGCATTAATTTAAACTAAGATTTTGGAAATTCCACTACATTTCTGACCCACTGTCTTCATATAAAATCTGCTTGCCTCATTCCAAAACTAAGAACAACTGTGTTACACCTAGGGAAAAATGGGCTTAAAATACC